TTTTGGTACTGTCCTTGGTTTAACTCCTGGGTTGATAGTTTGAAATTGCTTATTGTAGGTATCTTTGTTGCTTGTAATTACAACCCTTATGGAATGATTGCTTCTCAGAGATGTCTTCCAGATATAGTTGGTCTTTAAGTTTTGAGTCTCTCATGACTCTAAGGCTATCTCATTTTCCTTATACTAGGAAGGTTCATTGACTAGATCAATACCAACACCTTGGCCCAAGTGATACAATCAGCAACACCACTGCATCAAGTACATCTTTGAAAATGACATTTTGTGGTAGTTATTAATCTATTACCTTTAGCTGGTGAATTAAATCAAGATTGAGGACCAACCCAACATATAGTGAATAAACTCTTCAATATAACAACTTTACCCTTTGGAATGGGGAGTTAGAAGGGATTGGGGAGCGAGGGACAGATGGGAAGAAGGATAGGGGAAGGTTAGCAGTGTGGCTAGAGGACACAGGTGAGAAGGAAAAAGAGAATAATAGGAAAATAAAGAACTCCGAATGAGGACTAAAACAGGGACAAAAAGGGAAGATGAACAATGTGGGAGAGCAAGAGAGTGAGTGTAAGAGAGAGAGAAAGGAAAGAGAAAAGAAAGAAGAAAAGAAAAGAAAAAAAGGAGAGAAAAACAAGTATTTGCAAAGAGTAGGGAAAAAAATTAAAGATAAGAGGAGCAAAAGAAAAGAAAAGAGAAAAAAATGAACTAATAATACTAATTTTGTGAATAAAAAATAACAATGAAAATGAAGGGCCTCTTCCAGGGTATGTCTCTGCTGTCACAATAGACAACGTGGGTAGCAGTGTGCAGATATAAGTCAATGCGTCTCAGCAAGCTAGTCGAAGACCCTTGAGATTCAGGCAGATTTCTGGCTGCAAGTCCCAAGTTGAGCTCCCTGTCCTCCTGTAGGGTTGAACTCTGCAGAGTTGTATTGCAGGTTCCAGCTGCCCTTCCCCTGAAGGTAGTCCCGGTCCTGATGGGAGGTGAAGGTGACTCCAACTTACCCAGTACAGTGGTCTGATGGTCCGGTGTCCTCTGGGTCTTTGTGGTGTGGAACCAGGTGACTTTACAGAGAAGAGGCCAGAGGAGCGTGGTGGGGGGGCTTGTCCAGTGGATTGCTGCCGGGGAGCGGGCTGATTCGGCGTGTTCCGCACGACTCGCGACCTTGGTACGGTGTCTGCAGACATGCAGTCTGCCGTGGGCTGATTCGCCGTGTGTCAACACTATATTCAGGGGAGGGGCGTGGGGTGCCTCCACGCAGCTGACGCTTCCAAGCCCTTCCTCCCCCATTTTTCCTGTTATTTTTAAGATTTTAGGATTTTCTTCTTAGTCTTTATATTTTTTGATAAGTTTGTTCCAAGTTTATAGTTTCTGTAACTAATGACAGTTTCGCTCTGGTTTTCTAATATTTACACCCCTGATTTCTGTCTTTTGCTTATTTGCATTTGTCAGTACTTACAGTACATGATTACATGGTAGTATTGGTAGTGGGTGTCCTTGGCTTATTCTTGATTATAGATTTTTTTTCCCTCCTTTTAATCATGCTGGCTTTTAACCAAAATCCAATACATATATTTTTATCAAATTAAGGAAGTATCCATCTTCCCTGTTTTCAAGTGTTTTTTTAAAAAAATCAAAATTTTTCAGCTATTCTCAAATCAAACCCTTTTCTTTAAATGTGATATTGAACTTACTAATTTTTACTTAGGTTTTTTGCACTGATGTTTACAAGTGATATTGAACTATAGTTTTAGTTTCTGGGCAGTTTTTGTCAGTATTTATGAAAGTTTTCTTTCTTTCTCTGTGCCCCAGAACAGTTCACATAGCATTAAAACAGTTTACTCTTGAAAATCTTGGGAGAATTTCTTCTTCCATAACATCATCTGGCCTTGGAGCTTTTATGTTTGGGGGTTGGGGGAGAGGAAGCTCTTTAACAATTATTTCTATTTATTTTATGGATGTCTGTTGCGATTAATATTGGCAAAATATAGTTTCCTAGATAATGTATTCATGAGACAAGCAATATGTTCCAAAAGTCTTCCCAGAAATTGCTGCCAATTTCAGCAGTCAGATAGCTGTATGAGTCTCATTATGACAATCCAAGAACACAGAAACTAGTGAAATGTTTGCATTTCATCCAGATTTCTCATTCCTGGCCAGAGACCAGGTCTAGATCCTGTTGTGCTTTCCTGGGGACCTTTGGCCTGGGCTCTGCTTTCTCCTTTCACCTGGTACATTCATTTATATATTAATTACTCTTCACTTACTTCTAAAAGAGTCTGAGGCAGAGCACTTGAGTCAGATCCCAAGGAACATGAAGCAGTAAGCCAGCATTTACACGCAATTTTCATGTACTAGCGAGAAACAATAAATTAGTGTGTGTGCAAGAATTCTTTGCCTGTCGTTATCATACCCAGTGTTACTGGTGCACTTTTCTGTGAAGAACAGCAATTCTCACTGAGAACAAATTCACATCTCACGGACCATTTGGCAATGTCTGGAGACAATTTGGGCTGTCACAGCTAGAAGATTAGGATGCCACTAACATGGATTGGGTAGAGGCCAGGATGCAACTATCTTACTATGCGCGGGACAGCTCCTCACAGCAGAGATCCATTCCAAAATATCAAAATACTGTATGTTTCAGATGACAAATATATAAAAATTTATATAGAAATATTTTTTCTCTGTGTTTGTTCCAGGATTTTATAAAAACTTTGCCAACACTTTCAGGATTTCAAGGCCGGGACCTTTTTGAAATTTGGAGTAAAGTCTACGATCCTTTATATTGTGAGGTAAAAGAAAAAAATCAAACATTAATTTTCAATCTGATTTTATGATTTATTCCTATTTTGAAACAGATGAATACATTTTTCTTCTATTTTTTATATATCTGCCTATTGCTCACGCATACTTTAATATTGACACATAATTCAAAATTTCCTTTTATAGTCCAGAAAATCTTGACTTCTCTTTTTTTTCCATTATTTATGATTTCACCCTTTAGAAAATTGCAAACAAAATTGCTTTTCTTCTGTACATTGACACTTACTTATTTTACAGTCATTCAGGAATGCTGGTTTTCTGTCATGGGTTTTAATGAAAAAAATAATGTTACACAAAAGAGGAGAGAAGAATTGCCCAATTTCTGGTTACAGAAATAAATAAGACAGCTATAAGTCAAGCCATTAAAATTGGTGTATCAGGTCAGAACATTTTTTGCTGTGTGATGCATTTGAAATAATCTTTGTTACTAAATTAGTATTGTTTTTTCAAAGATATATGGTGGTTTTTGCTCACCAGGTTCCATTTCTGGCAGAAAGAAGTACTTTCTATCCCTGTTTTCCCAACCAGGACCCTAGAACCTTGGACAAAATTCTGACTACTCATCTGACTCATAGCTACTTCTGAGTTGAATTCATCATGAGTGCACAGAGGGAAGAAGTTTCTTTCCTAGCTCTGTCTAGTAACAGATGACACAGTTTCTCCCACCCATAGCAGCTTACTGACCCAGCCACATGCTGCTGCTCTCTCAGCATCTTCACCTTGATTATCAGTATCTGTCTCAGTGAAGATTTGTTACCTTTATAAAAGGTCTTCAATGAAGACAAGAACATATTTCTTACTTACATTCTATTTTTTTCTTTCTTTTTGTTGTGGTCCATTTTGTTTATTCTCAGGATTAAACCCAGGGCCTCAGGCATGCTAAGTATATGCTCTACCACTGAGCTACACATCCAGCTCCTTGCTCCAGCTTAATCTGAGCTATTCCATAATGAGGTCATGTAATGTGGTATGTTTCTCACATCCCTCTTGCTTATTTCTCCTTATCACTTCACTTTGCTGTGTTCTTTTATGATCTCTCTCTCCCTTCCCTGAAGGCCTTAGAAGTAGGGGAATCCTCATCAACTCTTCCTAATGGGTAGTGAATACTGGTGCAAAATCTCTACCTGCCCTACTATTTACCATGTCCCAGAGTCAGGAAACTAGAAGTTCATAGGGCGAGGCATATGTTATTGAAGGCTCCAGAAATACATTCCCTTTCTTAACTGGCCTCATCTGGCTTTTAAGGAAGTGTCATCTAACTCTGCTGGACTTTACGTTTCCCACAGGCTTATAGAAAGGTTTCTAAACCTTTCATAAAGGAACGTGGTACATCCTTGCCCTACTGTACACGTACTCTGCAAAATATAAATCACACACTGACTCAGAATTAAGCCAGAGGATGTGGTAGAAAGGAGAAAGTTTCTGTAATTTTTTTCCTTTGAAAAATTATACATATCATAATGTAAATTCTTACAAAGAAATGGTAGGATAAGAAAGGCTGGCCCCAGTAGCTCCTAGAGATGAAAGAGAATCTTTTTTCTTGGGGAGGGTGGGTTCGTTTATTTTGTTTTTTGAAACAAGGTCTTGCTTGTTGGCCTCAAACTCACTGTGTAGCCCAGGCTGGCCTCAAACTTGGGGTGATCCTCGTGCCCCAGCCCCCTGAGTGCTGGGACTACAGGTGTATCCCACCACACCCAGCTGGAGAATCTTTTTAAAGTCAACAAAAATGATAGTCATAAATAAAAAATATATACATATTCTCCTCTTTTTTATTTGCTACAGGGTATTCACAATTTCACTTTACCCTCCTGGGCCACAAAGGACACAATGACTAAGTTGAGAGAATTATCAGAATTATCCCTCTTGTCCCTCTATGGAATACATAAGCAGAAAGAGAAATCTAGACTCCAAGGGGGTAAGTGTTTTAAAATGTGAGAAGTGTATTAGCTTTATGATTGGTTGATCTGGATCTGTGTTCCAGTCCTACCACAAATCCATGGAGTGACCTCAAATAGGCCAATAACTCTTGCACCATTCTCCATTTTGCAAAAGGGAGACAATAGTAATACCTACTTCACAGGTAGTAAGGACTAAAATGAATATATATACCCAAAAAGCTTAGAACAGACAGCATCTGGAACCTAATATACTATTAGTAAACATTGTATTCCTATAATCATCAATATTACTCATTCTGGCCCTTAATTTTCCCATCTGGAAAATGAAAGCTTTGGACTACAGCTAAATGGTCCTTTCCATGTCTTCCAGATGAAATAATCAATGATTTGTGTCTAAGTCCCAGGAAAATCAATTGGTAGTTTATAAGATGAATTTTTCAAGTGGGAGGTTTGACAGAAGCGGCTTGTTTTCCTGAAGCCCTGGGTAGTGAGCATTGTTAAAAGTAATAGAACATATTTTTCAGGCCAATTATGCATTGTAAATTAATGCCTGTTGCAATCAACAAGTTATGACAAGGTTATTGGTGATGAAATGTAATGATATTTATTTACTAGTGATGCCCCCTCTCAGAGTTGGCCCTTGGTGGCATGGGACACCCTGCCATCCTGAAGGCAGACCCGGGCAGAAGGATGTGAGGTCTTTGTAATCAAGATAGGTGAGTTTTAAGAAAGAAGCCAGGACCAGACAGGACGGGGTAGATATCAGGGCTGCTGAGTGGCCAGACCAAGACACTAGCGCGTGTGAGGCTCAGGTGTGATTAATGCAGGCATTAATACTAATTAAGGACAAACAGCAAGAGAAGGTCCAGTATGTGAAAGATTGACCTAATTGTGAAAACCCCAAGCCTTAGGGAGAGGTTCCAAGTCAGGTCAACAATGCATTCCAGACATTTTGAGGACACCAGGTGCCGCTCCCCACCTGTCAGGACAGGTTCATCAGAACCCTAAAAGAATGCATAAGAGCATTGTGGGGGCTTGGCAGATGGGGAAAATGTTCACTTGGGGCTGTGTAATTAGAGAAAAAATTCAAATCACCAAGCAGAGGAGGAGTCCGGTACAACTAGGACAGCAGGGCTGCATGTAACAGCTAATGAGGTATGAAACCAGGTGAGTCAGGAGCAAATTCATGTGAGATAAACAAAATAGGTTGGAGCTAATCCTTCAGGGAAGTGGTCATTAATGATATGAGAAGGTTGCAGACCTACTGTTACAGGAGTCCTGCTGGTGAAGCACAGAGGAAGACTTGTTAGAAAGCTTCAAGTCCTCTCTCCCCACTGAGGGCATGATCAGCAAGCCCCAGCCCTTGAGGAGGGGAGCACATCCAAAGAGGAGGTTTAGATGGAGCCTGAGAAGTTGGCATAATTACCAGGCAGTATACAGACTCTGTGTAGAAGACAGGCCCAGGAAGAAGCTCAATCTTATATGTGCTTTACAACACAAGATGCAGAGGCCGTCTGTGGCCACATAACCGCTGGGCTTCATCTCTGCCCCCACCCCGCCCCAGGCACTAGCCTAAGGCTCAGTCCTACCCAGTCAGACAGCAAAGGTGGAACTCTTGATTTGTTTCCACCAAACTCATCACAGTGAACTCAGGAATCCAGCCTCTCAAAGTGTAGTCCCATTGTCCTGTGACACTCTCATCACCTAGCAGCTAACTTGAAATGCAGAATCTCAGACCCCAGTTGAACTAAAATCTTCATTTTAATAAATCTTAATATGCCTTACACAAAACAGGAGTTGACAGTAATCTAATATTAGATACCAAGGTGCACATGTATAAATAAGGAAGGGGATTGTCATAACAGCTTGTTCCTGTTTCGTCCTTTTTTTCCCTTTAGCCACTAGAGGTTAACTTGAGGGAAGCCACTTCCCCTCTCTGGGTCTCAGTTTCCCCATCCAAGAAAGGAATTAAGCTCGGTTCTGTGTATAAGAGTTCCTCTCTGAGATGGTCTCTGATCTTGGATTCTAAAAGCTGGCATTTATGGGGACTCACTTGCCCTTCTTTCCAGAGGAGGTCCAGTGCCACTGATAAGCCAGGAAACTGTTTCCTGCATGATTCTGCCAAAGCTCAAGCTCAGCCTATTGTTCAGATCTGGCTAGACAAGAGGGATTTGCCAAGTCCATGCTTGTTGAATGATGAAGCAACTGAACACAGAACTGCACAGAAGACATCCATTGTATGGGTGACACAGAATAGAAGACTGGCTTCCTCTGACCTTTGCCAGAACTTGTGCTCCATTCATTGGTTTCAAGGGTGATGCCGTTCAGTAAGGCACACACAAACACAAGAGTTGCTTAGGAACATATATCTATCCACTCTTGATGTAGACCATGGGTTGGCATACTACTGCCCACAGACCAAATCCAGCCCACTCCTACTTTTGTAAGCAAAGTTACTGACATAGGCACACTCATTCATTTATGCCTTGTTGATGATGGCTTTCACACTACCACTGAAAAATTGAAAAGTAGCAACAGACCTTATGCCCCACTAAGCCCAAGACAGTTGCCATCTGGCCTTTGTCTGGCAAATAGAAAAGGCTTGCCAACTTTACTGTAGCTCAGGAATGAAGGACATGAACTTTATGTCTTCTGATAATGATGTTTTGTCTAGTTTATACCAATTTAGTAAGGATGCCACAGGGAACTTAGAAGTTAATTTTATGCTTCAGTGTGGTCTTCAGTGTGATCATGTGCAAGGATTTTTGACATATTGGGTTCAAAACCAAGCCTTCCTGCTTACAAGCTGTACAATCTTAGGTAAGTTGCTGAGCCTGAGTCTTAGTTTCCCCATCTATGAGACAGAATATTGACATGTCAGAGCCTGGGGATAATACCCCATTTCTAAGAATTGATACCATAATCATTACCAAGGCTGCATCTGCCCAAAGATGCCTCTTGATAAAAGGCAAGTTGCTAACTACACATGGCTGTCATGACTCTAGACACTTGGCAACAGAATTTGGTACCAAGATGGCATGAAGATCAAGCTAATGTTCCTAAGTATTCTTTTTTTTTTTTTTTTGGAAACAGGGATCGAACTTGGGTCCTTGCACTTGCCCAGCAGGTCGCAAAACCACTGAGCTAAATCCCTGGGCCCTATCCCTAAGTATTCTTGAGGACAACTTTCTCTGTGGCAGGGAGATTTAGACCCATTAGAGATCTAACATCTAGTTTCTTCTATTCACAATCCAGGAAAATCCAGCCACTGCAGATATATTGTGCATATTGGTGTGCAGCCCCTCTTCTTATAATTTAATGAGCTTTTTGAGGGCAGGTACCATGTCTGATCCACCTAGAACAGTGTCTGGCCCATCATAGCTGCTCATTTTGAATTTGCTGAGTGGGCTGGAGTCTGGTAGTACAGACAATTAACACCAATGCCTGCTTATTACCAAAAGCTAATAAACACTACTGGTCATTCTCAGGCTAGGGGAACCCATGTATAGTAGAGAGATCACTGGAGACACAAAGAATCTCTTTTGAAATTCATAAACACAAATAGTTGTGGAGTCTCTGAGGCAGCATGGCCTCAAAATAGATTCCGGCAGCCAGGTATGTTCACACACACATACACACACAAAACCCCAGCACTCTGGGAGATTGGGGCAGAAGGATCTCAAGTTCAAGCCCATCCTGGATACCTTAGGAATTTAGTGATACTCTGTCTCAAAATTAAAAATTTTAAAAAGAGGGTTGGGTGGTAGTTTAGTGTGAATCCCCAGTATTGTTTAAAAAAAAATACACGATTGCCCTATGAGGTGCCATCTTCAGTGTCTGCAAATAGGATGGAGAGTGTGATTTGTGTTTCTGCCTTTCATTGCCTCAGGAGCAGCAAGAGTTAGGTCTTTAGATTTGAAGGCCAAAATATCCCCCTCTCCTAATGACAGAGGCAGTATACGAAAGCTAAAACGCTTGCTGCTGCTTAGTTCCGACCCCAGGGTAACCTGAGGAAATGGCCCATAGAAAATAGCCCGTGATCCACACATTTGGAGAGTTGCTTTCTCCCCTGGCCTCCTACAGGTCTGACCTAAAGAGGATGGGAGCTAAATGTAGAAGTACATGCCTTGCCATTGTTCCAGGTCTGCTTGGGAGAAGATCCCTGCTAAACACTGTCTTTGTGATCTGAAAAGGCCATCCGGAATTCCTTCCAAGTTTATTAGACTCCCTCCTAACTTGAGCTTTATCAAAACCTGGTAGAGTATCCAGCAATCCAGCTCTCATTTCCCAGAGGTCTGAAGCACTTAATATCTACCTAGGCTTCAGCTTCCCTAACTCAAAATGAGAGACAAGCTGAGGATTCAGTAAAATCGTTTGTGTATGTCATGTTACCTACACACTACAGATGCTCAAACAAAATTAGGTCTTTACTTCTCTCATTGAATCACTGGGGAGAATCTCAATTATGAGCAGACAAAAAGCTCATAAACTAAAATATAAGCCTGTGTTCCAATCACCTGCATTGTTAATCTATCCTCTTTAAGGTGTCATGATTAATGAAATCCTGAATCACATGAAGAGTGCAACTCAGCCACAAAAGTACAAAAAATTTGTCATGTACTCTGCGGTAAGTATTTTTGTCTCCATTGAACATCCATTTGTTTAAGTGTGTAACGTCTTGGAATGTGGGGCCTTGTCTTCCTCATCTCTGTGTCTTCAGCACCCAGAGTACGTTAGGTGCCTGCACAAAGCTTTCAGAATTGAATGTGCCATTCTGGCCCTTGAGGAATTTACAATCTAACACTGATACTGACGAGACAAATAGGGATAGGGATGTAGCTCAGTTAGCAGACTGCTTGCCTAGCATGAGCAAAGCCCTAAGTTTGAGCCCTAGCACTGCCAAAAAAGAAAACAAACAGACAAACACCATACAAAACAGTATAGAAATGCCATACAAGCAAAGGCTTTGGTGCCTCAGAAAAGTAACCATTCCATCTGCTGCAGGGGTTGGGGAAGAGGAGCACAGAGGCATCCTGGACTAGACCATCAACACATCAAGATGGAAGGTATTAGTTAATAAGTAGTTCCTCACATGAAGGGAATTTTTAGGGCAGAAGTGGAAAGCCAGGAATGTTATGTGGAGAAACTATGTTAGACATTAACTATGCTGTCCAGTATGGAACCTCACAATCACAGGTAGCGATTTCAATTTAAAGTAATTATAATTATGTAGATAAAAATAAAGTGCCTCATTGCACTAGTCACATTTCAAGTGTGCAATAGCCACATACAGCCAGTGGCTACTGAATTGGACAGCACAGACATAGAACATTTCTATCATCACTGAAAGTTTTATTAGACAGACTTGATACAGAGTGTCAGCATGTCTTTCCTGGAAGGCAGCTTAAGGGCTATCTTATCCTGCAGGTTTCTCGGAGGCAATGTAGAAGAACAATGAAACCAGGGAGAAGTCCTTAGGTGTTTGCTCAGGGGAGGCAGGCAGGATCACAGGATAGGAGGCATATTTCAGAAATTATTCCTCCTACCCAGGCATGGTGGCACACTCCTGTAAGTTCAAGGCCGGCCTGGACTACATTATGAGACCCTGTCTTAAAAAAAAAAAAACAAAAGAATTACTTCTACAGCATGACTGGAAATCAGAAACAGGATGTTGTATAGCAAGCTTACGTCTAGAAAAATGGGGATGAGGCCTAAAACTAGGATGACAACAGGAAAGGAAGAGGGATTTGCCAGGTTACAAGAAGAGCTGTGCTTTGGCAAGAGAAAGCCATGTTTTCATTCATGCAAGAAAGTAAACAGTAACTGAAGATACAGGGAAGTTTGCTTATTGTCAATGGCTCTAAACAGAATGGAATAAAGAATAACCCACAGAGGGAGCAGGTGCAATACTTTCTAGAGAGAGGTGGGCCTGAAATTAGCTGATTCTGCCAATTTTTTAAGTTTCTTTTATTTTGGTACTGGGGATCAAAGTTGAGACCTTGTGCTTGTGAGGCAGGCAGCGGCACGACTGAGCTAAATCCCTGGCCCTATTTTTTAAGTTTCTATTCTGTTTTACAGTTCTAACTTGTTGAGTGATTTCTAGAAAGTCATATCTATAACTCTCTGAACTTTATTAAATTGGTTCTAAGCCCTTTTGAATATATCTATGTTGGCATACAGTGTAGGCAGTCAAATGTTATCCCCATTTTACAGATGTGGAAATTGGAAAGCACTCCCCTGTGTCTTCCAGTCACTCTGAGGCAAACATTTAACTTTACAACTATTTTTAAGATATACTCTAGCTCCTCGTATTTTTGCCCCCCCCCCACATTTATGGCTTTATATACTATTCCACAGATTTTAAATCAAATATTATGCTAAAAATACAGTTTAGCATACAATGTTCCAAAATATTTTAAAATTTAATGAAAATCAATGAAATAAGCAAAAGCAGAGATATACTCTTCCTAGAGAAGATATAGGACTTAAAACCGGAAGACTTGAATCAAGTTTGCTTTATTCTATCTTCGAATTATATGACAATAAGCAAGTTATTTAATTTCTCTGGGTCTCACTTTCTTCATATTTTAAATGGAAATAGTAAGTAGGACACAACAGATGCTCATCCACAATAGTTCTTACCCTTTCTTACTTATCAAGTGATTTCGGGAGTATTGGAAATTTAATTGAATCAGAAACCATCATGGTGTTCTTCAAGTGCTGATGCCTAATGAATATAAATCTGAACCAGGGATAAAGATCAAAAATGATTTGCTTCTTATCTCTACAGCATGACACTACTGTGAGTGGCCTACAAATGGCGCTGGATGTTTACAATGGAATCCTACCTCCTTATGCTTCCTGTCACTTGATAGAATTGTATCTTGAGAAGGGGTAAGTGCCTAAGAAGTGCTTTTGAAAGTCAGTGTCATTGTCACCCCAGGCTTTGTTATTATTATTGTTATTGTAGATTTAAGGATTGTGTCTTGTCTTTAGGTTTGGTTTTATATTCAGAGGGAGGAATGGTGGTAACAATATCTTTGCTAGTCATGGCTCTTTTTTGTTTCCATGAAGTCTTTTATTGGGAAGTAATGTACATGCATAGCAAGTGAAAAATTTGAGAGAAGCATCCTTAGTGACAAAAATTAGATTTTTCTTTTTTTAAAAAATTGAGGTATTCTAAGAACTATGCAGTCTTAAATTATTCTCTTGCATAAAAAAAATACCTTGAAGGATGCCAAGAGAAAAATGAAGTTGTTTAGTGCTCACATAATAATAGTCTTTCAAAGACTTCTAACATAGCCATGCTTCTTCTGGTGACTAATATCTACCAGTCAAGATTCTTAAAGCACAACTTCTGAGTAATGTTTACCTCCTTGTGGCCTGATGTAACCCTCCCCTGATGACTAGCTTGACCTCATTAGAAAGATCAAAGTCAGAGAGGGCAGGTGTCCCAGTTTACCCAGAACTGAGAGGCATCTGAAACATAAGAATTTCATTGTTGAAATGGAAATAGTCTGGGGCAAACCAGGAAGAACTAGTTGTCATCAACAACATCACACTAAGAATTTGCATCTGCTGTGCCAATGGAATTTTCTTTGGAAAGAGAAAGGTCATGGGTTGGTGGAGAAATCAAAGAAGGGTCCAGGTTAAGATAATGACCCCACAGTTTTGTTTCTGAGTGGGTTAGAGAGATATTTTTCCCTCCCCCTTAAGGCATTCACAACAGCTGTAGGCAGGGCCAACCTGAGTGTGCAGTCAAACAAGTCCCACATTTAGACGATCCTGTGCTTGTTTTAGTTCTCTACTGTCACCATCTTGAAATTCTCAGTAAATAATTTTTTTTTTAACCAGAGGGCACTGCAATCATTTTGCAACCATAGATGTAAGTTTTTGGGTCCCTGAATTTGTAGAGTAGAAGAGTAACAACACAGAGACCTCATTCTCAATCAATAATTACAAAGAAAGTAAGTTCTGCAGTTAGGGTAGTTAATTCCTTTATTGAACCTTTAAGTGGATGACAGGCACAATGAGGTAGAACTAAAATGTAGTCTTAGCTAATCTTGCTCTCAAATACCTGGAGTCAGAGTGGAGAGAAGACCCTCATAATAAAGACTAGCAAAGGAGCAAAGAGGATCCAAGTTAACTTGCTTATGAGATGATGCTGACTATAAGATGATCCCACTTTTCTTTTGTTTGAGACAAGGTCTCACTGTGTAGTTCAGGATGACCTTGAACTCACTGTGTAGCCCAGGCTGGCCTCCAACTCACGGCAATCCTCTGGCCTCATTCTCCTGAGTACTCAGTTACAGGCATGTGCCACACACCTGTCTATTCCACATTTTCTCTATGAGAAGAAAAGGAGCGAGATGGAAGGGAGAATGTTTTAGATTTTCAACCATCTTAAACATATAAACTGTTAAGGCTGTAGATAAGGTAAATATATACCTATAATTTTTACTACATAAATATAAAACCACAAGGTATATAAAGTAATTTGTTCAGCTAAAAATACTGCTTTTTTTTCACTTTTACATTTTAGGAAATTTTATCCAAATTCCTCATGTCCATCTTAGTTTGTGACTTCCCCACTAGAGCCAATTTTGAGCCCCCTAAAGCTGCTTTCTAGATATATTACTTTAGGGTAATTTTGGTTTCTGTATAAATGAACCTCACATTCTCAGGGGAAGTTAATCTCTCATTTATCTAACAGTCTAGTGTAGGTATTGCTGGTCACTAGGTCCGTGCAGGGTTCCATGGTGTGGTTCTCATGTGGTCCCCCTCCCTGGGACCCCAATCATGCTGAGCTTACTAGACTATAGCAAGAAGTGAGAGAGTGGAGAAGGCCACTAATTTTAACAACCACCCCAGCCCAATAAGAGCACATATCCTTTCTGGTTGCTTTCTATTGGCTAAAATGAAACACTTGATCCCACCAGGTGGCAAAGAATCTGGGAAAAGTAATTACTTCTGGGGCATCACTCTTCTATGGAAAGAACCATGATACCAACGGACTATTTAATGGGGCCTCAGCCACGTTATCTTGAAATAAAAGATGTTTCACTGGAAAAATTATCCCAAGACATAAATATGTACTCATTCATATATTAGGAAAGTTTTTAAAAACACATCTAAGTAAATATTTGCATTATTATGCTTATATAGTATGGGGAGTTTCATGTTGTTTTTGCCATGCTGGGAATTGAACCTAGAGCCTCATACATGCTAGGCAAGCACTTTACAACTGAGCTACATCCCCATTCCTCTCTTATTTTTTATTTTGCTAAATTGCCCAGGCTGGCCTCCTGCCTCAACCTACAGAATAGCTGAGATTGTAGGTGTGCACCACTGCGCTCTTTTTAACAACTGACTTGTTTATAACAACATTAAAGAGTTGAAATTGTGAGGTTACTACACCAAGAAAGATCATTAATCCCACTTGAATTTCTCTCCTACTTCTTTGGCAAATGACTTCCACAAGCAACTCACACTGGTTTTACTGAGACTGATGTAAGCCTTTAGATCGTCCCCAAATAGCACTTTGTTTTTTGAAATAAAGGTCAAGGACGCTGTCCTTAATGTGACACTGGAGTTGAATATATAGCCACCTCTTTCTGAGGGATAATTTTTTAATAAAGTCTTGCTAAATACTCAACAGCACATCTTACTCAGTTTCATGTTTATGGCCTAGTTAAGGAGGGGGGATGTACAGTCAGGGAAAGTAAATAGAGAGAGAGAGAGAGAGAGAAAGGAAAAGAGGGAAAAAAGAGTAAATGAGAAGCATAAAAAAGAACAGTAAGAGGGGAAACCCATGACCCCCCACTTGCCCATCATTTCGCATTCAAAGCCTCATCAAAGACATGCCCAGCTCCCCCAACTATCTCCTCTCAGTTCTTTAAGTATCTTGTTTGTCTCCCTCATTTCCCTGTTTACCTAATAAACCAAGTCCCCATTTCCATCCTCAAATCTGTCCCACCTGCCTCAGTCTCCCCTATTTTCACACATAAATTGGCTAAATTCTTCTTGTTCCTGTAAGCTCTTCCACCAGTCCTTCAAGTGACATGGTATAGTTCGAGTGGAAAGAAATTCAGTGGCCATTCAACATCGCAGAACTAAGGAGCTCTCTCCTCTGCCTTTCCACACCAGTGAGTACTTTGTGGAGATGTACTATCGGAATGAGACCCAGCACGAGCCACACCCCCTCACACTGCCGGGCTGCACCCACAGCTGTCCTCTGGAGAAGTTTGATGAGCTGGTTACCCCTGTGATACCCCAAGACTGGTCCACGGAGTGCATGATCACAAGCAACCATCAAGGTACTGAGGACATGATGGATTAGTATACCCATACACGCCAAGCTGCACAGAAAGAGCAGAGCACCCTTTCTCAAAGGAAATGCTGTTTTGAGAATGTATTCTGGTTGTTAGCCTCAGTTTAGGAAGAAATGGGTTGTGGGTGATAATTGTATGTACAGACGCCCCCTCTAACCTCAAGCAACTTCTACCTCTCTACCTAGCCCTGCCCAGAATTGCCATCAACCTTAATTTCTTTGTTTTGTTTGTTTTTTTGTTGTTTGTTCAGTGTTAATATAAAAGAACCTCAATGTGATCAGGTATAAAGCTTAGGTCAAAATTCATGGCACTTCCATGATTGGTCATATAGCACCTTTTATTGTTTAAGAGTTTCTAGTTTTTGCTTGAGGAGGATGTACTTGAAATGTCTAAAGTGGAGCAGATTTCAAAGGAAATTTATAATCTAGGGTTTAATCCCAGGCTAATGGGCAAAAGACCAACTTATCCATCAGTTCCAGTCTTTCTCAAGGAGAGCAAAAGATAAAATACAGTGGTGATAACTGAAACGCTTTCCTCACTGGGAATGTGATGCTAATTGTTTCTATATTTACTTTTTTTTTGTTTTTTTGGTACCAGGGATCAAACTCGGGTCCTTGCGCTTGCACAGCAGGTGGCAAATCCACTGAGCTAAATCCCCGGCCCCTCTATATTTACTTTTAAACACACTAGGTAGCAGAACTGAACAATAAAAGCTTATTTGTGTTTTTTGGCCCCAAAATATTCATGTTCCATTTTAAGAAACCAAAATCAAGCTTTCTAGGAAGATTTAATGTACGTAATACATACAAAAGTTCTTGGACTATATGCACCATAGCAAATGAGTAATTGGATGAGAGCAAGATATTCAGGCACAATGTATCAGAGATATGGCATTATGTGGTTTTCTCTTAAAGCTCTAATGTTTTAGATGTTGAATCTAAAGTTGATTTAAGAGAAGATGTGCAATGACACATACCAAACTGAAACAAAACTAGAAATGTGAGAATGTTCTAATTGCCTCCAATTCAAAACATACTGAGATGCTAAGTATGTTCTAAAATCTGCTCAGAGGACAAAATATTCTGGTATCTTCAGAAAACCTAAGCAAACTCATAGATCCAACTGAAACTGCTCATGGTGGCAGAAGAAATCATGTTCAAATGACACTCTTTAGAGCCCCATAGATTTGCCATGTGGCAGATGCAACTCGTCTAGAAAACACCATGCTATGTTTCCATTACGAATAAAGATGAGATGGTTTCTAAAGATGGTTTTTACTGGATGCCAGAATCTATACCAAGAGCATTCCCTCTCCTGGTTGGTCATGAAATGACTGACATAAAACATCGATTGATGTGCTTCTCTGTGTTATTTTCCAAGGAAATATTTGTTGTTGGAGTGATCGTCCATGCTTGTAACTTTCTCTTAGCAGTAAGCCAAATGTAAAGTAGTGAATAAAGGCATTATTAGGAAGTTCAAAAGCATTACTTTTAGAATGAACTTTGAAAGTTTGTGTGTGTGTGTGTATTTAATTAGAATAAAATTCCTGCAGGAAGTTTTCAAGGTCTCTCTTTTGTTTGGGGGTTTTGTTTTAATGTAACAGAAAGCTGTGTATTAATATAAAGTAAAATGATTTGACTGGCTTAAATGAACATGTTACATTGAAAATGTAGTTTGAACTTGTTTCAAATAAGGCCTAAACTCTGAATGGTTCTACCTCATCTATTTAAATTGGAGCGGGCTCTGTAATCCCAGAACTCTAAGAGGCTGAAGCAGGAGGATCCCAAGTTCAAGCCCAGCCTGGACAACTAGAAAAGACCTTGTCTCAAAATTTTTTTAAAAAATGTTTTTTAAGACAAAGTCTGCTATGCTGTTCAGGCTGGCCTTAAACTCACTCTGTAGCCCAAATTGGCCTTGATCTTGGTGCTCTTTCTACCTCAACCTCCTGAGTTCTGGGATTACAGGCCACCATGCCCAGCATTCAAAAAAATTTTTTTTTTTTTGGTACAGGGGATTGAACTCAGATCCTTGTGCTTGCAAGGCAGGCAGTGGAACCACTGAGCTAAATCCCCGGCCGTGAAAAAAAAATTTTTTTAATATTTTAAAGAGCTGAGGATACAGGTCAGTCCAAAGTTCAATCCCTAGTACCAAAAATAAAAAAATAATAATGGAACTGGCTAAGAAAATGCCCTCAAGAAGTTCACGAGGTAGTAAGGAAGTAAAGAGATACATATTACACAGAATAACAAGGGTTATGTTTAATGACTACATAGGTTGCAATGGGAACAAGAGTTACCCAGGTTTGGGGGAAAAGTGAGTAAGTAAGGAAGACCAGACAAGGCTTCTTGAGGAAGCAACAACTTCATTGTGCGAATTCAGGCTGGACGGAGCTTTCTGATAATGTCCTGCACAGTACTAGAAAGGCATTTTCCGAACATCCTATTGGCTTAAAGCTGAAAGAATAGGGGAGTTACTCAGCAGAAGTTTCACACTTCAAAGAGATTCCCACAGGGTGCATTCAAAGGGTCATTTCTAATAAGACAACATGTCAGTTCCATAAGTAAGCATGGATTTTATTTGTTATGTTCTCTGCTTTATCTGACCTTGTAGAAGTGCCTGTGCTGGGCATCAGTTGGTGCTCAATAAATATATACTTAATTAACATGTAATTCATTACCTTTCCTCCCTGGATCTATTTTTCTCTTTTAGCAGCAGGTGAAATATTCAGGAAGCTGGATTGTTATTCAGTGTTGAAAATTCCTGAGCAGGAAGCAACCACTGGGCTGGGTGACCTTGCCTTAGCATAGATACAATAGAGCTCCCTTAAGCGTGGAAAGCTGTAGGGGTTGAATTATTTCTTAGTAGGACCACCAAATTTAGCAAATAAAAGTGTTGAAGTCCCAGATTTATTTGAAAAAATAGCTCTAACTGCTGAATTGTTGCAGTTTATAGAAAAAAGTAAAATACAAGACACATAGGGTGCCCTGAGAAAACCAATTCAGGAAGCAAGACAAAAACACGTCCTGCATCCAGGCGATGCCTGACAGCCCCTCTCCTTAGAGGATTTCCACCATGAAATTCTCCCACAATTAAAAGTGTTTTCAACTACCTAGGAGACCAAATTAGCCACATCATATCAATTAAACTAACCACAATCTTTGCCAAAAAAATTTGTAAGTGTGCTATAGTATGTTACTTGAAAACAATAATATTGTTTTTCAAAATGCTTCAATTCTAGAATTTTACTAATACTGTCAGATTTTCTTCATTAGTGCTTTCCCTACCTTTATATCCAGCTAAAATTATTTCACAAGAGGAAAAAGCTTCAGGTTCCCCTCATTTTCCTTGGGAAGCTGAAAATCTACAGTACATATCCACATGCTCAGGATTCAACCATGAGTTTCTACATCTTTTCCCTCTTTGAATCTTCTAGCAGAACCAGGTACCTTCTATCAGTATCTGCTGATAAAATATATGTTCACCTTTTCATACTTGACCTGACTTCTTCATGGCTGGACCCAGATGAGAGCAGCCTGGAACTCAGTTGTTCAATAAATAGAAGACAGTAGCTGTGAATGATGCTCAAAAGTATCAGCTCTATAAAAACTCAAATCACTAGCTATAGGTATGTGCCAACCTGTCTATATGTTTAACATCTGTTTTCAGCATAATCATCATGGCATTGTCTTGTTTCTCCGTTATTGTAAAGAGCCCCTCCTCAATAATATCCCTTCTGGCACCACCATTTCTCTCTCAAGGATGAAGCCATCTGATTAAAATAATTATTTCACTCTTACGACCATTATCTTCCCATTGCCATACCTCATTGTTCAAACATGAAGACATTGGCACTTGCTTTGGTATGCAATACAGTAATTCACTCCCACTCCCAGTCCTCCCCTCAGCCAAGGAAATTTTTTTTCCCCATTAAGTTTATTGGTGCATTGTAGATATAAAATACATTTACCTACATCATTGGGATCTTGTACCATTACATGAGTATCTTGGTTCTTATTTTTTCCCCTTTCCCTGCCCACCCTTCCCTATTTGCAAAGACTATATTTCCATTTTTTTCCTTTTCTCATATTTTTTCTTTTCCCTT